GAAATTAATAACTAGCTGTTATTGACTGTAGCTTCAATATCTTTTTGTGCATTCAAGAGAGAAAGGGGATAACAACAGAAATTAATAACTAGCTGTTATTGACTGTAGCTTCAATATCTTTTTGTGCATTCAAGAGAGAAAATTGAATGCAAAATCTACATATTGTTAAGTAGGGTCTTGAATTAATGTTCAATATTTTTGCAATTTAATGTTCAATATTTTTGCAATATTGAGATAACATTATATCGTGAAGCTACTCAATAATATTTACAATAGTCTTTAAAATTTAAAATTTCTTCTCGGCTCTYGYACTGTCATTTATATGCTTTGTACRTTTCTTTAACCTKTTTTTCAATCACTAACTGTCCATCTTGTTCAGTGTACRTCATACTCATCTTTTCCACATAGGGCTCTTCTACCTCTGTGATGGAGATAGCCGAGGCTCGTAGAAAAATACAACAAACCCTAAGTGGGGTAAGCAGCACTTCATCTCTTCWCCTTCTAGTCAGCCATTTGATTTGTCATGTAGTGATGTGAAATGGATGAAAAATAGATGGATGAATGGATGGATGAATGAGATAATGAATGAAACAATGAACTAGTAGCTTGATGGATTAGTGATGAAAGAATAAATGGATAAATAATGGAGAAATCGATGATAAATAGATGGATGGTTGAATGGGACAATGAATGAAACAATGAACAAGTAGCTTGATGGAAAAGCAAATAAATGAATAAGTGGATGAAAAAATGAATGATTATTGGATGAATGGATGGTTACATGAATGGGAAATGAATATAGTGATAAATGATCTGAAATAATGATAAAATATGAGGGAAATTAATGAATGGTTGAAGAGCTAAGAAGTTAAAGGAATTGCTTATTGTTAATTGTTGACAAAAATAGGAAAGAAAGAGAGAAAAGAAAAAGAAAAGATAAAAAGAGAGAGTGAAGGTTAACTATTAAATAAATTAGTTCAATATTCCAGTAATACTGTAGATTAATAATCCAATGGACAAATTGAAGAATAGATAAAAAATAATATTGATTGGACAAAATAATGTATTTGTTTTAATATTTTAAATTTTAACCAATTATTTGTGTGTTTGCATGTATTCTTTTTTTTCTGAGTTCTAAAAAGACCTTAGAACTCATCTTTTTGTTCTGATAATTTTACTTTAATCTGTTTAGTCGCACTTAGTCGTCATTACTTTCTACATCACAATCATATTATTTCTAACCACAATCTTTTCAAATCTCTTTGTTTTACTCTCTTGATTTTGTTTTGAAAATTATAGTTTTAGTTATGTAAAAGTTTGCATGTTCAATTAATAGTCTCCTTCACGGTTACCTGCGCCATCTTGAAAGGTAGCCGTGCCTTGTCATCGAAGCGAGACAACCGTTGAGCGTGCAATGATAGAAACCTTCTTTCACACCTATAGACAATTATTCACAGGTATCTATCATTGCACGCTCAACGGTCGTCTCGCTTCGATGCAAAGGCACGGCTACCTTTCAAGATGGCGCAGGTAACCGTGAAGGAGACTATTGTTATTTCTTTTGAACGTTTTTTTCATTGTTGCTTTACAACTCTTATTGTAATGTAGAAATAGCTAATTAAAGAAGTGGAATCACTTCAGTTGAGCCTTGTAAAGGTCTTGATAAGTTTGATGTACTGGGTGACTTTTGCAAGCTTCTTACAGCAAATCACAGTGCTATATAGACAAGTGGCAGTATTGGGRATAAGTGAATTGTTGTAAATACAAAAACATGTTTCTCCTAGGCTCCACCTGGTGCCTCAAGCCACTCGGTCAACGAAAAACGCCTAGATCAACTTGAAGCTGACAATAAAGAACTTCGTCAACGTAAGAACAAAATTCATTTGAAAAAGTCTAGTTGATGGTGTTGTGATACAGTGTCAGAGTAAAGAGCTGGTCACACTAGTATACTTTTWGGTCTTATTTGCTGTTGAAGCAAATTGTTTTATTGGAATCTACTCTCAGCGACTGATTGAATAGGTTCCTCCAGTAGAGAAATCATCTTATTCAGCATTTCAAATCCACTCAAAACTTATGCAATGGATAACCTCATCAGATGATATTATTATCCTTTGTATAACACTGCTCAGATTTGTAAAKTCAATTAACAGCAAACATCAATGTTTTTAATAGAAAATAAAGAACTTGTAGAAGCCATGAAGAAGCTAGAACTGCGTGTTGCTCAACTAGAATCAAGTAAGCATCGATCATATAACTTTGTGTGGTCCATCAGTAGTCAGCTTTCATGTCCCAAATGCCAAATGTGAAGATAATCCAATTGCCATATTACACAAACTATTGTTTTTTATCAGAGAGATATTGCCTTTTTTCAGCATTTTCAAAATAACTCTGAGGAATTCGATTTATTTTCAAGTGTATGTCAAAATTATTTAAATTGAATTTTCCTACTTTAGGCAAAACTACTGCACAAGCACCAGCACCAACTCCTCCAGTAAGTAAATCATAACAGACCATTTAGGTCTTCATAAAATAAATTATTGTTGACATGTAGAATTGTTATATTGTCATTAGCCTAAAGAAGCAAAAAAAGAGGTGAAGAAGGAAGACAAGGACGAAGACGATGACGATTCTGATGACGACATGTTTGGATCTGATTCAGAGGTTTGTAAACTGTTTACATGGTGAAAATATCAAATATCAATAGACTTCTGAACCTTTTACGTCACTAATTGATTTTCAATGCATTGTGGGATCAGTTTCAAGAGAAAACAAAAGAAATCCGCCATGTTTTGTCCCAAACATGTCCTACAATGCATTGCGTATACAGTACATGATCATCAACATGTGTACAGTACACAACAGTGATACATATTTTATAACTAATTTCTAAGATTCCTCTTGCTCAGTGATATACTAATGTTCAACTGACATTCAGTTTGGCCATATTTTCTGCAGTATTAGTTTGTGCTAGAGCTCACTC